TAAAACGGCGGTTTCCCTTACTAAAAGGCTTTCCCAGGGTTAAATCCACTGAGTGGATCAAAATAACGTGATCAACATATGATAAACTACCAAGTCAGATTACCTAATTATTAGACATGCTGTATGCGCAAAATGTTGCCTTTAAAAATTGTCCATTTATAGAATTCAGAGCCTAAAGTCTCAACATTTTCTTCAAGAAAAACTTATCAGTCCGACTGACTCAAACTGTAGTTGCCAATTAGCCATTACGCCATTGCGACTGCCAATTATGTCCACCACGATGTGACGCAAATTGCAACTCCCAATTAACGCCCACACCAGATGATTATATTATTATATCAGCACTTTGAAATGCTAACTGTTCTTTGCACATTTTTCTCAAGTCTGACGACGACTTGGGGATTCAGTCTGGAAAATTTACTGCATAAATTTACTCATTTTCTCAAAGGACGCCTTTCTTTAAGATTACATTTCTTGGGATGCCTGCCTTCCAGTTTATTGGGTGTAATCTTCACACGTGGCCCCTAGTTGCATTTACCTTCTAGCTCCTCCTTGATCGCGGTCTTTGAACTTGTTTACAGCCTGAAGGAGGAGATGGACTTCAGCATCGGCCAGTTTCGTGACCGTATTACTCAAATGGAACAGTGCCACGAGGCACTGCGGACAGAATTGGTGACGAGTGTTGCTGCAGCGAAGACTGATGCTACAAAGACCGTCGAATCGCTTCGAGCTGAGCACAGGTGATTAACTCTTGTTAATATAGCCACCCACGTCTGTGTTCGTCGAATTGTTATTTTAGTGAAAATCGGGCTACTGAGAATAAAAAAAGTAGGTTGTTATTATAAATCACAGATAAAAGCGGCTGCACAAGAAAGTCCTACCGTTATATCGTTGTAGGATATTGATTAGCACCGAGGGTGTGATAGTGCAGCTTTCAAATATTTTTGAAATATATGCATTGAGAGCATCATCTCTTGGCAGCCATCCGCCATGCTTGAAAGTCGTTCATAAGCCACCGATTTTCTTTAAATATGTCGCAAGGTCATGACCTTGGTTCTAAACAAAGAGGTTGGACGCAAAACGAAACGCCTGTATTCTATCCCACAAATAGAACAGACTGACGCATGTCAGCGTCGCTTGACTTGGAGTAGTCTGGATCGCAGTTGGAAGAGAGCGGACCTTTGAAAGAACTGTTAGAACACCAAATTCAATGAATGACGTGACCCAGATCGAATTTCCTGGTCCCCCGACCAAACATTGAGTTAGGGTGGGCTTCTTACTCCAAGTTGGCTAGAAACCGTGTAGCAGCAAATACATAACGTATGCGACTCAATCTACATAAATAAACAAGATGTGCATTCATATAAAATAAATACTGATACATTCAAACTGAAAACATTACTAAAAGAAAAGCCTATATGAAGTTATACCCAGCAGAGATGGGGTACATATTCAGTTATGATATGCAAAACAACGTGTTAAAACCAGCATATGTTAGTAATTGAACCCTCGATTTAAAATGAGATGCC